TGATATTAAACTTGTTCTGAAAGTCCAATAAGACCTCAATATTTGTTCAACTGTCAATAAGTTCATACTGTGATGTCAGCCAATTAGCAAATTCTCAATCACCACCTCTGATTAGAAAGAGGTGTGAACATATAAGGCATAGCATTGTTAACTACCAATATTAAAATTGATAGGGAAAGGTAAAGGTCACAACTGATTAACTTCCCCTTCATGAAACCAAACGAGCCAACTAAGACATTTTACAGTCTTTCTCATACTAAAATGGTATTCACATGGTGGTTTGGATAATTCATCCTAGCTACTGCTATTGAAAATTTAACTTTCTTTTACTACTGTATAGCTCTTTTTTCAACTATTTAAGTCATTAGAGTAGGTAGTAATAAAGTGAAAGAAAATAATCCTACACAAATTGAGGTGAGTTCAACCAACATCACCATCACAAAGTACTTTAGCCACATGGCCATGCAAATTTTATTTTCCTACAGGAATCCTATTGACACTCCTTTCAACTACATCTAAGCCTGAGCTATTAGTGTGAACACAACAGTGTATGTCAACTTATGTGCAAGGTCATTAAAAAAAAAAAGGATCCCAGTGTGAGCGTGTGTCTACTGATTGATAGCTGTTTTTTTTGGACCTGTTTTTTTTTTTGGGGGGGGGGGGAGAAGGGGGGGTTGGCTACTTTTGTAGATTTTTGTCACAATACCAGTATTGAAATTAATGACTACTACTTTGGCTGAAAATGTGTAATAGGAAAGCCTACATGTATGTTTATAAACAAGTCTTAACTTGATTCACTATACACTGGCAGGTGATTCATGATTTATGGGTCTAACGCTACCCTACATGCCTTCCATTTACCAATACAAATTACTTGTTGAATTCCACAACTGTTCTTGCCTTTCAAAATAAGGCTTGCTAAGGAATTTCTAATTCTAAGAGGTCAGGGGTCACCAGAATAAAGTCACTACCAACAAACATAAAGTAAACACTATAAAGTATTTATACTTAAGCAACCTGTGAAGAAGTTGATATATCTTTAAATGGATATTAAACAGAGCAATTTTATTTCATTTTCATTTTATGTTCTATTTCCTTCTCATAACAGCAACAGTACACTTGCCAAGTGCAGGAGTTTTATGAAACTTAGGACAGTGGAGTTGTCAGTTGTGAGAAAGGGAATATTTAGCTAAATATGATCTGTAACTGTGGGACTTAGATGGTTATATAATTCTAAGTGCTGTGTACATATCAATGACGTCTATGCCTTTATAAAGGACAATCAAATGACCGACTATCTCTCAAATGACTCATACTGTACAAGAATACAATTTATTTGTTCAAGAATACAATTTTCCATTTACTTATGTAAATCTTGTTGATCAATACATAAAATTACTTCTACTAAATAAACATGTAATTAAAAATGTACAAAGAACAAGTTTTACTGACTGAAGCATTAAACTACTGTATGCCCAGCATACAGTAAAACTACTATAATATCAGCAATAAATATTGCATTAAAAATAAATTTGTCAGATAAACGAAACAAAGGATCTCAATTCAAATAGAGAGGTTTATGAAATGAATACAAACCTGATGTACATAACGTCTCACAATACTGTACATTGTACTTGCATTACAGTACTTATATACAGTAGACAGCAGCGCTTAAAATTCGTAGTTTTTAGGTAGGGTAAAAAAAACAGCAGCGAAAGAATGAAGAGCATATCGCATAAAAAAGAGGACAGGAAATGGCAATCAAAGGTAACCTAAATTCTTTGATTCTAATTTAAAGTAGTTTGGTCTGCTAGAATCATCATAAATCTCACTAGTTGTGAAACAAACCCACAACAGTTGCAGTACTGTTGTTGTGTTCGCATCCCTTGAGAGGCACAGTTCAACTGAGAAGAGCAATGATTTAAACATCATTCAGGCTATAAAAAGTCTGATACTATGCTACTGCTGGTAGAGCTAAATTATAGCTACAATGGCTATACTGTGCTCAAGTTGTAGCCATGCAGGTTAAGTACGTCTCTATTTTCGCTAATTATTGTACATGAAGTAAAAATAATTGCAATAATCCACAAACAATACTTAATTTCCAAAATGAATAATATGAAATGAGAAGCAGTTCAGATAAATTATTGCAACGAGATTATTAACATTTTCATGGGCAAACTCATGAATCCAAATTCTCTCTAAAATAGTTTTAGCATAATTTATTTGCTTAAATATTTATTCAATTCCATGGGCAAACTCATGAATCTAAATCATCTCCAAAAATAGTTAAGCATAATTTATTTGCTTTACTTATTCATTTCCATGGGCAAACTCATGAATCAAAATCATCTCCAAAATAGGTGCATAATTTATTTGCTTTCTCTATTGTCAAGTGTACAGTCAAGTTAAAAAATCTGAGGTTAAATACAATGTTGAAAGACTCTTGTATTTAAAAAATGATGTAATTACAGAAGAAAATAGTAAAATGTGGCATAACATTCCTGTACATATTTCAGATTAAATATTTCAGACTTAAATTTTTTGTTTTTTACCTCCAATTCTACAGGCCACAAAGTGATACAGACCACCAAATTTGCCTCATTGACACAAGATTATAATCTACTGTAATGTAGGCTTTGGTGAGTCTGTGCCTTACTGTACATGTGCCATCATTCAAGGTATTTCCAAAGATTAAGATCAGCTCAAATCAATCCTGATTCCAATCAAGATTAGCACACCCTATTGTAGGGTGATGGACTTAAACCAATAAACACTCCCAATATTGATAGAGGCCATTTACAATTAATAAACACTACACTTGGGAGAGGGATTAAATACCTTCATACTATTTAGAATTATGAAAATCACTTCATAAAATTGCTTTAACATTATTTGGTTTAAAAAAAAGAGGTTTTTAGTACTGTACAGTAAAGCATAGTACAAACTGAATATTGGCTCATTGTTTTACAAAAAATATAAAGAATGGTAAATTGCAAAATCGAAATTTGTATGTTGGGCCTACACTTTCAGAGCATGGCGGGTGTAGAAAAATAGTAGCCTACTTAATAACGTAAAGATGACATTACAAATAGAAAGAGTAATCTAGTACATAAAAATTATTGACTTAAGCATAGAAATGATTTAAAAAATTATCAAAACATTTCCAGTGACTAGAAATGTTTCTATCATTTTTCACTGTAAACTTATGGACAACATTTTTTTCGTATACACTATGTTCAATTTGATAATTTGTATACAGTCATTTTAAACTAAGCAAGTTAATTTAAAAATGATTTTTGATTTTTTAGTATTTTTCATGGCACAATATCTTTAAACACCATAAATAACTGAAGTCAATGTGATAGCAGTATTTACAATCTGGAGCAGACTCTTCATCATAGCACAATGACATCATTTAATAATTTATGACAAGTGCCCATTAATTCTCTACAATGGATTGTGCCTGATGATATATTTATTATTCTGTTTAAACACCTGTTGAGGATTCAACAAAGAATATTATATCATTTTATTATGGCATCTAATTTTAATTTAAGGTCATCAAAACAGCATACTCACACAAGCGGATAGTTTAACTTACTAGGAAAATTATATTAATTGTATTCGAAGAAGCTATTTTCAAAATATGAAATTAAAATCTATATTTCTGAAAGGATATCTAAAGTAATTACGAGAGAAACTTGTAACTCAACAAGTTATCAATAATAATAATAATAATTTAACTAAAAAACAAGTAATATTTCAAATCGCATTCTTACCTTGTCCTTGAAAATATTTCCGATAATAAAAAGCACCATGATCAATATGTTCCAATAATGGTCCTCGTGAATAATTACCCTTGTTGCCAACCAAGTTGTGTAAATCTCTACCTCCCTCAACGATTCCTGAGTGTAAATAACGTCTCATAGACCGACCAGTACGTGCTAAGCTTACTTTACGAACTGTTTCTCCTCCGATTTCATTTATAAAGAATGGACAGCCAAGTACTAATTCATTAGATTTGCTATCAACAGGTTCTTGCTCATCGATTTCAAGTAAATTCTCCATACTTCCCTAAATTGAAAATAAATATATTTTGATCTGTCAGCTTGAATTTTCAAAATTTTTCAAAAATAATGAATGTAATTTATTATTAATAAAAATACTTTTTACCAAAAATAACACATTATTATAAGGTTAATGAAAATTTGTCAATGAATAATTTTAATAATCATATTGCAAAAAGATTTTCAACAAGTTGCAACTTCATAAATCACAGATTAGAATTAACAGAATGTAAACCAAGCTTCCTATGAACTTGGTTGACTTGCATTGTTTAGTTACTCTAGGAGCTGAGTAATACGGGACTTGTGCACTTTCGCATGCACTCAATCCTTTTCAAAAACAGATGAGATGTGTATGGGTGCATGGTTGAAAAAATTTGGTCACGCGATCTGATTTGCCTATACTTAAAAATGCATAGTTATTTGCCATTGAAAAAATGTCACATGATCAAATAAGTTCAAAGATCAAAATTAGACAATCTTTAATACTATCGTGTTGGGTATCGTTGGAAAGCTCTTTCAAGGCCGAATACAATGTAAAGGAGAAAAGTGATCAGTGTATAATTACCTTTCTAATGGTATATAACATGACCATGTATAACATGGCACGTCAGCCATCTTGAAATTCAAAATGGCGGACATTTCGAACGCAAATTAGATCGTGTGACCAAATTTTTTTCAACTATGCAACCATATACACCTGTTTTTGAAGCGAAAGTGCACATGTGACGTAACTCAGCTCCTAAGGTAAGTATGGTTAAAGCCAGGCATTCACTGAATAGTACGACGGTCGTACGACCGCAGTGAGTGTCCGGCTTCACAGTAAAACATACAAGCAGCCATTTTGTATTACCAGCAGCATATTGAAGATATACATGGTGGATACTGTAGTTTGCAGTTTACTAAGAGTATTAAGTTTGACAGAAACTGTTTGAGATTATTCTAATCAATATCATTGACAGGAGTATAACATCTCTTCTTACCATTAAACATAAAGGAACATCACATAAAGATTAATGACATGTTTACTTCACTACAGTACTAGTTTATACCACTAATGTGGCTTCTTGAGGCAATACAGAAGCCATAGTAGTGGTAAACTCAAAGCTTAGTGGAACATGTCTAAACTTTAAATTGTAATAATAGACTACTTGGTCAACAGACATTTATTTTTTTTTCTTTCTAACCTTATAAAAGACATCCACAGAATTATCACTGGTCAATTCTAAGTACCTTATAGTTCTTTAATATTATAATTTGCACAGGTATGATAAGGACAAAATTCTATTTCTCATTCAGCATTAAAAATTGTTATGTAATTTTTGACAATTTGAGCTACTGTAGGGCCTGTACACCTCAATAAAACGTACTATGTACATCTTTACATACGTATCTCTACGTACTTATTTTTACGTACGCAAATAATACGTGCGTATTATTGTACATTTTTTCTACGTATTTCAGATTATTTTCTAACAGAGAAATTCAGTTAAAACTAAATTTTAATTATATTTTCCAAAACTTGTTAACTAAATATAACTAAATAAATACAATCACTAAAATGTAGAGTATATAAAATATTCTTCTCATCTCTTAAGAAATGTATTTTTATGTTTGGATCAGTTAAAAAACTGGATTGAACAAATCTATTTATAAATAATGTGGTTCATTGGTATTAACATGACAGCTGGTGTAGAAACATATCTCTGAATGTCCTTGGGTAAATTTCTAGCATTGTTATACAGGGATTACTTTAAAACTTCACAATGACAAATGCTGATCCCTAGATATTTAGTCCTTTAAGGGTTGAACCTCAGCAGCTTAACGCTTGTGATACCCTGAACCCAGATTAAGAATGGTGCAATTGTGACCAGTTGATGAGGCACAAATTAGCATCACAGTACTGCCTCTAGGGGTCAAAAAGCCATGCTTTTATACATGTACACATAATACAATAACCTCAGAGAAAAGCAGACATATGTTCACCTACATTAAAGGCAAGACTGTCATGCACATTTAAATTATGATTGGGAGACACAAAGTATCATGTTACACAATGTTCTCTGAAGATTTATGATACATTTCAAAATAAACAGTGTGATTTATTATTCTATAATGATTATGTTTACACTGGCTTTGAGAATGTCAATGTAATATTCACTATGGCACATACAGTAGAGCACTAAAGTTTAGCTATTTTAGAATTTTTGTTCCTATACATTCTGTTAATTTTACATGCATAATGGTGAAATGCATAATCTGTAATGTATTCTTTTTATTATTATAGGTTTATTATTTACATAACACTTGTGCAGTCCAAGTTTGTAAATGTTTGACGTACCTGAGGAGTGCCAGTTTCTGTCGTCTTTGAAGCTGCAGACGCACCTGTTGAAGTATTTTTTCGTCGTAAAAGCGAGTCTCTCTTTCCGACCACGTCCGATAAATCCACACACATACTTTGCATATCATAATGAGAAAAGGCCTTTCTACCAACTCGACTATCCACTGCACTGTTTCCATCATTATCACTGTTTTTAGTCCTATCGGAATTTTCTGCTTTAACACCACGGATTTTCCTCAGAAATGACGATTCACCTCCAGTTACTGACTTTGAGCGTCCCTTTAGTTTTTCTCTCTTAAATTGTGCTCTGCGTTTCTGTTGAGGACTAAGAATGTTCTCAGCATCTGTTGCTTCTTTTTCAGATCCATTAACAACATTTTCAACTTGAGCTATTTGGGGTTTATAGCTTTGGGGTGGGGGAGGGTTTTGCTGTGACTGCTGCTGGCTTTGAATGTTTCCCCGTAGAAGTTTTTGAAAAGATGGTGGAGCTGGACTCCGTTGATCGCTTTCAGTTTTAAATTCCTGCAACATTTGGAAAAAACTATCTCCACTGTGGCTTTGAACATCTATTGAGGATGTACTACCATAATCCCTAGCACGAGCAGAAAACAGGTTGCTGTTTGCATCGTGACCATCAATCGTAGAATTACTTGAACTCTTCCTTAGTGGATAGAAGAGATTTCTATTGTCTGCACGTGACAATGCTTTTAAATTAGCTGGGGTCAATGCTGCCCCTCCTCTATTCTCGTCTGATTTGTCAAGCATCGCAAATTTATTGTTTCTTCTAAGTAACGATGGTGAGCCACGTCGACGTCGATCGTCTGTAAACCGTTCCGCTCGCTCCCTTACTGATACGTAAGCATTTGACCTTGGTGTATGACCAGAGCTTCTTAGCTCATGGTGTCTTTTGAATTCATTTTTCCGGGAAAGGTCGTCTACCATTACATAATCAAGGTTGACTGGTGTTGCTCTGAACTCACCTGATGACATCATCCTACTACTGTTAGCCTCCTTTCCAGGAGTGTTATCGTTAAATCTTTTAAGCCTATCTGCTATCAAACCACCATGTGGAATTTCTGCTTCAGGTCCTGTTGACAGAACGTTGTCGTCACCAGGCTCTGGGATTGGTTGTTCATTTTCTTTTAACACCGTTTTATGATAGTATTCAGCTGCTTTTATTGCTCGTTGGCGAATTTCATCTCCCAAATATGGGTAATTTTTAGGTTCGCGATTGCCGGGCATATATAATGTTGAACTCTCTGCTCTCCCACTCATAGTCTAAAGCATTGTTGAGTTAAAGAGTAGCATCTGACAAATTTTAAAACCTGAAACATAAAAGAAAATAAATTGTTATGTTACAGTGAATTTTATGTTTTAAAATATACATACATGCATTCTTTACAACATCTGTGTACCATATATTATACAAACTGGTCTATATTAATTATGAAGTTCCTACTTTGAAACAAACATTTTCACCTTGAAGGTGGATATCCAACCACAGACTATGGTTCTCATCAATGAGTCACCTAAGGGACAACATCCTAATCTATTCCGAAAGCCTGGTTCTCACAAGAGCCCTAGTATCCGGATCGGGAGCTAACCGTTAGCGCTAACCGTTAGCATCTGCGTAAGAACACCGGATACCGCTAACGGTTAGCAAGAGCTATCGGTTAGCAAGTAGAGCGCGTTTTTATCATCAACCAATCACACGTACGCGTTTACAATTTCCAGTTTCTTATTGGCCAGTGATTCGATTATCATATTTTTGGTATCCGGATCGGGATTTTCTTGTATGGACGCACGGCAGCTAACGGTTAGCAGGATCCGGTCCTGCTAACCGTTAGCAGCCGTGTGAGAACATAGTGTACTATAAATATTAATATTCAGATTCAAATTTATTATCATAAATGAAAAGAACATGAATAAAAGAACTCTGAAACATAGCTTGTAATTTAATTTATTTAAATAATGCTTGAGATACAAATGGCAGATAATATAAACTAGTTCCTGTACTTCTTTGTTGATGACCTACCTTTTCAACAATTGAGTTGTGTAGAGGGTGAGTAATGTCCTTTAAAGCTGAGAAAACTATTTTCTTTTTAAATTAAGGATTGTTTATTTGCTTTCTAAGTAGTGCTGTTTCCTCCTGTCCCCCACCTCCAACTTAATTTTTTTTATTGTCAATACTTCTAATGCATTTAACTGAGACTGACAAACCTATGATTCGTTGATGGTAAATTCAACTTGAAAGGTACAAGTCTTAATCTAGCTTACATTTCAATGAGAAATTCAATTATATATTTATATATTTTATTTGCTTTCCAAAGTTCTGTTTTTCCTGAACCCCCATCTTCCTCCCCTATTCATTTTTCACTGTTATAATTTGTTTACTTTTTTAATGCATTTAATTGTGATCAACAAACTAATGATTCATTGATGGCAAATTCCACTTGAAAGGAACATAATCTGGCTTACATTCCAAAGTGTAGTTCAATACCACAAACACTTTCTTAATTTAACCTTCACTTAATATAATTCTATGAAAATTAGATATGGCATTCAAATTGAAAATCAATTTAAAATTAGCAAATAAAAGGACTCTAAACAGAACTAGACTGGGTAACTCAAAGGAAAGTAATGAAGTAAACAACAATCTCAAAATATTTATGAGCTAAGCATCTGAGACTGAGAAAAATTCAAGAGTTGTAGAGGAAAGACGATCATTTCCTTAAGAGGGTACTGTAATTAATGCGTATTCTTGTGTATAGTTTACTGTTTTCTCATCATAAAGTTAATAGCAGAATAGGACATAATTACTGTATCCTCTACTGTATTTGTAAACCATTTTCAAATAAAATTTTATATTTTGTAAATAAAACAGTTGCTAGAGAAACATTTATTCTACATTAAAATTTTATAAAACTAACTTTGACTTTAATCTTCATCTGACTAAAACTTTTTTCATTTCAATGAGGATGATCATTATTTTACATAGTTGCCTAGAATTTGAAAGTAAAGATCTAACTACTGTTTAGTTTTAGTTTTAATTGTTTTATCTCAAGGCCTATAAAATTTTTTAAAAATGTAGCATTCATAACTTACAACTCGTATGGATTAATGCGTATCTTGTGTAGTTAGGGTGTGTTACTACTGATAAACACAAAATAATTGATTTTTTAAACTGCTTTTTAATGAGTACTAGACAGCCTGCTCGCGTTGCAACTGCATTTTTGATTTTTCGAAAATCGGTTTTCGTGGCGGAAATTACGTCACCATTTTGTTTATACAACATGTTGTTTTCCTATTACTGTATAGGATAGTATCTTTCTCATTTCTGTCATGATGACGAAGAGTAAGATACGGTGTAGGGCGAGAAGGCAAATGAACGAGCGACCAAACAAGGACAACGGTAGGCACAAAAGAGCTGAGAGGCCTAGGCCCAATATCCCCCCACAAAATAATTACAAAACGAATTCGTTGCTCCACATGTCTGTTGACGTTTTTAGCTTGTAGGCTTACAGTAGGACATGAACAAGATGACAAATTTTTTTTAAATTTCGTGCCTAATACGATCTAGTCTTTGCAGTGATTGACCTGGAGGTCACATTTCACCTGATAATCACTTTTTTGTGTTGCAGCTAAAAGGTACACAGCCAAAATCAGTTATTTGCTGTTCAAACACATTATACATTGCGTATTTTTAATCAATTTTTTTTTAATCGATTTTTTCAAACTGGTCCCGTTTCTACTGCGAGAATAAAAGCGATTTTTCGAAAAAGCGATTATTTCTTTCCAGTAAAAACAGGCCCTTACTGTTTCCTCATCATAAAGTTAATAGCAGAATAGGACATTATTTTACTCTATTTGTAAACCATTTTCAAATTAAATTTGATATTTTGTAAATAAAACAGTTGCTAGAGAAACATTTATTCTACATTTAAATTTTATAAAACTAACTTTGACTTTAATGTTCATCTGACTAAAACTGTTTTCATTTCAATGAGGGTAATCAATTCATAAATATATACTGTAGTGTCCTAGAATTTGAAAGTAAAGATCTAACTACTCTTTAGTTATTAGTTTTGATTGTTTTATCTCAAGGCCTATAAAATAAAAATAAAATGTAGCATTTAACTTACAAATCATATGGATTATATTTTTGCTTCAACAAATCAAAATTGCCTTTGATCAAACTTTATACCCTCGTTGTCTTGTATTTTTCAATATTGTACTCGATTTTACACAAAATATTGACTTCATCTGATTTGTGCTGATATGCTTCAATGGATGAAAGTACAGTACATGTAATTTTGCATTGCTTCTGAAAAAAAAAAATGGAATAAATATTAATACAGTAACTAAAAATAATTATTTCTGTTTAATGTTTACTAGTGGCCAATTAATGAAGCATCCATTTTCAATTTTTTTGGAAGCATACAGTTGCAGGCACAACAGTAAAGATTTTGTAGTTTTCGAGTCTGAGGCTAGGCATGTATTTTGTGTTCTTGAGAAAGAGTACTTTATCCACATAGTACAGGATACATGGTAGGTTTGAACGTCAATGGGATGATTACAATTCTAATATCTATACATATGGAACACTCTCCCATGGAGCAGTACTTGCACTGTGTGTGTTGTATAGGTGTTTAATCCAATTACCACAGTAATAATGTGAAGCCAATATAGTAGAGTCCTTGGCATTTTGCATAAGACAATTATTATTAGTTTTTCCTACACATCTTACATAAGTACACTTGCCAATTACAGGATAGAATGATGCTCTATAAAGAGTCTCTTTATGCATAAGGGACAGAACTGTACAGTAAATCGTAGAGCGCCACCTCGCATGATTAGAAAACAGGCACTGGGAATTTCTGCACTCCTTTCTCCTCTTGCTGTACTGCAAATTGTTAATTTGTGGACATGCTGATATTTTACATGTCAGTATATTTTCATTAATTTTTTAACATCTAGAGTCTAAAGGTCATTGTGTCATTGACAACAATTTACAAACCTCTTCTTCTGGTACATAATCCAATATTTAGTTACAATTAGTTTGTAAAAATTGTCCTATTGTTGTAGTACTGTACTGTATGCCAGAATAGTTTCATTCAAAGTCTACAAACAGAAATACAAAGAACCTTTGATTTACAGACTGGTTTAAAGCAATGAAAAATTGAATTCGAGGTCAATCTAAGATCAGTTCATATAGTAGAAAATGCTCCTACATTAAGCTGTATTCACATAAAATTCGAATCGATATTTGAACCGTGTTTCCGGTGAGCTAAATGCCAGTGTCCCTATTCTTACACACAGATTCAATTTTCAGACCATTTTGATGGGCCTTCCAATCAATCTAGAGCCTAGCTTAGATTTGAGTAGTAAACAAGAGCCCACCACCTCAATAAACTGGCTTGAATTTTTCTAAGACAGAAAAAAAAGCGAAAAACTGGGTAACAGTGAATGAGATACAGATTATTAAATATTTTAAAACTGGGAAACAAGGTGTAAAAATGGGAGGTCTTGGAAAAATCAGTTCTACAGCATTATCAACATTTTTTTTTCCTTTGCAAGTCCTCATCACTCCCAACTCTCTTCTTCTGCAAGTAAACACCATGTGATTTACATCGCATATCTCCTTCGTTTGGTCTGACTGGGCGGTCTTCAGCATTACGAAATGTTGACGTTTTCTAAATCAACAAAATTCCATCCCTCAATATTAATTTTGATGTGTGCAGAAACATTAGCTGAATACATAAGTTAATCAGTATTATTTAATTAATATACCACTGCAATATTTCTTGTGTTATTTAGGCACCCTAAGTAACTTTTCAACCAGGACAGGAAGGCAGGTAGGCCTGCAGTGCTGGAATAGGCCGAGTGTTGTGATGACACGATAGGGGTACTTTGTATGGCTTTCAAGTTGTAAAAGAGAATAAAGATAGTGTGATGCAATTTAGTAAATTTGTATTCCAAATTTGTTCCAAAATTATGTGGGGTGCAGCCGCCCAACGCCGACAAAAAATCGCTGAAGATTTTAGGCCTAGTCCAAGCTACCAAAGGCCTACGCCTAGTTGTACCAGATTTGGTAGACATGACAGGATCGCTGTAAACACAATATTAAACTTTATTCTTAATGAAATCAAGTTATTTAATATCTTTTATGTTGTATTAGGAGTAAAATGTGAAGAAATTCAAACTGGATTATATGTGTCATGCTTTTATATTGTTTTTAGTCTGACATTTTTTTTCTAAACTACACATTCTTTGTGTAAAATAGGTCGTGCCTCCTAAACTCTGCCTGCTAATTGGTTAATTTTTTTCGTGGAGTCATGGATGGGAAAAATGTGCTTGGCTGTGATGATATTAGATCACCCAAAGTTTTGTAGTGCATGACAGCTTGCAGACAGGAACAAGCTCTGTATAAACTGATTAATTTTCAATTAAACAGATTTATTAAAACAAATAAGAAACCCTCGTAGTTTTGTTTTACAGTCAAATCTAACAAATTTAAATGTCATTCTCTACAAATTTCCTCCGTAATTAGCAACATGTTTTTGAGGAATGAGTGAAGCTATCATTTGTAATTTACACTGACGAATCTACAACATCCAAATCCGAATTAAACGTCTCCTGAAAAGAGTCAGCCATTGTAGAAACTTGCTTTGGGTTTCGTCATCATTACAGGTTTATTGCAATCGATTTTTAAGGATTAGGCAAGGCGATAATGCACTTTATGAACAATATTAAGGCGTAACTTTCTATTTATCTAACATTAACGTTTAGGCCTTAGCCTACTGGTGTGTCGTTTTAATTAATAGAAAATCTCTGTGGCAACGATTTTAGGACTGAGCTAGCTCTACGATGCGTCGTAACCGTCGCAACAGTTCATTCACCGGGTGTTGTAACAGACAGCAATCATTATTGCATTATTTCAGGGCTGTAGGCTGAAACTAAAAACTAAAAAACTTTATAATCGGCGTAAATTTTATAGCGCCGGCGATTTTCGTTTTTTTTTTTTTGCCAACATATTTTTTCCTAATTTTGAGGGCTGGTAATAGAATATTTTGTAATATGGGAAATTATAGTCAGTTTGTTATAATCTATTGATAAGCTTGTCAACAATATGATCCCCTAAATTATAATTGGTACATTCCAAAGGAGTTTCTAACTGTACAGTAAAACCATCTAATTTCAAACATTTTCACTAAATAAATAGCCTGAGGAAAAAAAAAAATTGTTTCTAAATTTCAAACATGTTCTATTTTTGAAGCACAAATTTCACATGAAAAAAAAAGTTTAAGAACCTATTAGCAGGATATAAATCACATGATTCATGTGAATGGAATCATAAACAGTTTTAGAAAATCTACCAGGAAACAGACACTTTAACATTCTCATTTCCTTAATACTTAAAATAAGTACAATAAATACCAAGGTAATAAAAAATAATTGACTACCTACTAAGGTAGTGCTATTAGTAATCACATTTTAAAATATTTACATGATTAATCTCAGACAGAACAAGGTAAATTCCAGTTTCAAATAAACATAATATCTTTCAGTGGAAAATTTGGCCCTGAATACAGATCTGCACAGCACAGATGACTGGGGTCACTCTAACATATTTTTTTGTTTAGCCAATTGTTTGTCAACAAATTTTTTTAGCCAATTAAAGCTGTCTTTAGCCAAAATTTGACGAAAATTGTTAAAAATCATTAGCCCAACATGTTCGACAGTGGAGTCCGAACCAAGGGGCCGACTAGAGTCGTGCTGGGGCGGATCCAGAGATGTACAACGGGGGTGGAAGGGGTGGCGATCTAAACAACACTACTCTAGGGAGGTGGGAGAGATTTTTAGCACACCAATAAATGAGGTACCTGTACTTTGAAAGTTTGTTGAATATGTAGGCATATTACAAATGTTGACAAAATCATGTCGGCCTAGGCCAATACAGTATTTTCTTTTTAGTTTTGAACGATATCAGAGGTGGGGAGCTAGCGGTGGTTTACTAGACTACAGTATATTTAAAATTGGCTTCGGGCCTGATCGTATGTCACCCGAGGCACACAGTGACGTTTGCAGCAACACTAGGCTCCCTCCCACAACCCCCTACTCATCTTGAAAGACATACCGAGTTCTTTAAGTGCACAAGACAAATTGTGTACACTGGGCCTACAGTTTATAGTCCTTATCCAAGAAGACTTGTTCAACCAACAGAACCATAGGCAATCATGCCGTTCAAACAAGCGAATAATAAAATTGATATTGATAGTAATTACGAGGAAGAATTAGAAAATTTCATTGATGGTGGATGAAAATAAATTTGTTTTTTAAATACCATTTTCTTTACAGTACGAGTGCGCTAACAAGCCAAAAATATTTTTCCTTTGCTTCACATCATCGTTATCAGCAGAATTGCAAAACAAATATTTAAAAATCTTGCCTAAAGAAGCGAGATCTTGTGATGGTCCATTTTTCTGATTTACTATCAACAATATAAACCAACTGGAAATTCATTTTCCCTCACAGAAAAAACAATAAATATGAATTCTAATTTATGTGAAATGGTTCACTCTATAATCATATTATTATTAATAATACAGTAGATGACATTAGTTATAGCACATAATATCATTATCATCTATCAGTATCAGTTTCTATTGCCTATTTAACAACTAATATTATTGGCTGTGGTATTCAAAGTATTAATGGGTTTTTAGTAAGTCTATAACCATCGGTTTCTTTGTGCTATACTATAACAAACTACAGTGTTGTGAATGTTCTAATTCATTAGATCTTAACTAAACTACTCATACGATAATTAGACCTTTAAAAAAATCTTGTAGAGAGGAGAGGGAAAAAAATTAGTAATCTATCAATAAAAACTATGACTATGAATCGCTGTCAATCAGATCACACACATTAAACACACGCAAATTTATGTCCAGTGTTCTCCCCGGACCTTGAAGGGTCATGGTACCATGACTTTTGGGACTTTACTGTGACGCTGTTGAATTTGGTTTTTTTTTTTTATAATAAACAATAATATGATAATAACATTTTACAATGAAGACAAGTAAGTTTAGAAAAGTGTTAGTCAATCTACGTGGCCGATGTTTTTTTAGCTATCTACTGTAGCTAGGCCTAGGGCTGGCCTGCCCAGTGTTAAGCCTAAGTGGCTAACCTACAGTAGTACTCCAAATAGGTTGAGACGAGACGATTCACACACAATAGTACATAGGCCTATGCCTATTAAAAATGAACATTGTTCAAACAACTGTTTTACGAACGACCAATTTCCTTGGTTCAACATGTACG